CTCTCTCTCTCTCTCTCTCTCTCTCTCTCTCTCTCTCTCTCTCTCTCTCTCTCGCCCCTACTTCACTTATGGAGAGCCGCTGGTCCACTCACTAGTCTGCATTTGTTGATGATCATACAGAGTTGTTCTAAATATTCATGTACGAGTTCTTGTCTGAGTGTCCTTTCCGTTTATCAGGCAGCCCTGAGAGGAGTAGGCGTAGTAGGAGTAGGGTGCATTCCCAAAGGGAAGACACTGGCCTCAAGTCTCGTGGCCACGGTAGCAGCGTGGGGCCTCAAACCTTGGTCCCTCTGAGAGCAGGACGCCTCCTCTGCCTCTTTCAGGGTGTTGCTGCTCTTAAGGAGGAGCTCGGTTCCTCGGGACAACACCCTCTCCCACCCCACACTCTCTCCCAATACCCACTCTGTTGCCCACCAGGCAGAACACGTGAGGTCGCACTGCAACAGCACCACCCACGATGCTTTGGGGTCCTGGACATGCTCATCAACCACATGAGTAAACAGACTCCCAGAAGCAAGTGTCTTTCTTGAGGCTTCTGACACACCTCTGCCACTGCCTCAGTTTGTGACCTTCGACCAGCATCTTCTCTTGGCCTTTTGTGCATCTGGTTTTCTTGCGTGTCAAGGTGTATTTTTTGTACTTTTGGTTGTCTTTTTCATAATGAAGCAAGTGTTCTTTCTACATCTTGCTCCGTTTTCTCTATCGGGTGGGTATACTACAGACACATTCTCACCATCTATGGTTTGCCATTTCCTTCTCCTACTGATGAAGTGTACAACTGCTGACTTTGAAGAAATTGAGTTAGCGTTCCTTCTTGTGTAGCTACTACTTTCAGAGTAAGAAAAGGGAGTCCTTTGACCTCTGCATGTTCACCACCACTTAATCCTACATTCACGACCGGAAGTGCTTCATTTTACCATTTTATACTTTATATCGAGGATCTCGAAAAATTGAAGATGTTTCAAATCATAGCAAGTTATCATTGCTGACCACAGTGGGATCAAACTAGAGAAATCAACCCCCAAACAGCAAGTGGAGAATTAACAAAAGTGGGAAAACTAAACAGTACCTTTAAAAATAGCCAACGGCTTGACGAAAAAACCTAAAGGGACCTTGAGGAAATATCTGGAGACAAATGAAAGCCAGCACACAATATGCCTCACTTTATGAGATAGGAGGGAAGCCCTGTGAAGGGTGGTGTTTAGAACTGTAAATGCTCACTTAGGAAGGGAAAATGGGCAGACCGGTGAGGACTGCTAGCTGTGCAGGCACCCCAGCAGCCCAGCACCCCACCTCGCCCGGGCGCCTGCCTTTGCTGGTACCTAGATCCACACTGCACGGGCACCGGAGGTCATACGAGCCGTGGTACTGAGCTCCATAGGATATAGCAGAAGTGAACAAAACAAAGAGGGCCTCTCTCAGACTCCTTGATGTAAAGGGAAGCCCACTGGAAAAGTGAAGAGAATCTCTGCAATAAAGGCACACCAGACCACCATACTTGGTGAGTCCAAGGACAACTCCTCCCTTCTGAACCTGGACTATCTTCAGGAGAAGGGCAGCTGAACCTGCAGTAGAACCTTGCAGAGTTTCACCCTGTAGGTGGTCAGGGAACTCGACTAGGGCCTTGCAGCCAGAAATGAGTCCATATCTCGGGCGTCTGCTGCTGGCCTGCTAAGACTAATTGACTTAGATCTGCACACTGCTGCCCATATTGTCTATTGTGACAGCAAAGACACGCTTGGAAGGAGGCCCTTCATTTGTTTTCCATCTCTTTTAAAGTTTGTTTTTTTCTATTTTTTTAATTTTTATTTTGTAAAAATTTCTTTCTCCACTCTTCAAATTCTTCCTTTTCTCTTTCTTCTTTTTCCCAATCTCTCACTCTCCCACCTTGTTCTTTATCTCCCTGTTCATTCCTGTACCTGCCCCAATTCTCGTTTCTTCTCTTTCCCTTCTTCTCTCTTCTTCCTTCTCTCCATTGTCATTTGTTTCAAAGGAAAGTGAGTACGATATTTAGCTTCCCTACTGCTCTTATGTTGTTCTGTTCTTGTCTTTTGTCTTTTATCCCGTCTTTCCCTCTTGGGTTCAACAGATTCTTAGAGTTTGTGCAATCTTTCTGTGTCCGCCGACTTCACTTGTAACCGTCTCCTATCCTTGTACCTATCCATCGCTCTCTTCCCAACTCCTTCTAAATCTCCATCCTGATGGGTAAAGTTGCTATATTGAAGAGTTTATCCACTAGAAACATATTTAGGCGGTGTGCCGCGATCTCGATGTAATTCAAACGGTTCAAGTTGATGGATTAAAAACTACCACAAACTGTAAATTTCTGAACTGTGCTTGATGTTATCATGTGCTGACTGTATCACTTGGACTAAGGTATGGTGATTGTTCTAATCGGTTTTCCTTCCTGCTATGATGAAAATGAGAGTGTTTCTGAGTCATTAGAGCTTCAAAACATAAAGACCAACTATACCTGGAAGATCAAAGTATTAACCCAGGAATTAAACCAAGAACAATACCAGCGACAAAAGTAAAAATGAGAAAAAACTTAAGCAAGGCACAAATAAAGACTTCCAGCTCATCAAGGGCAAATTCTAATGGAAATCGGTGGACAAGTCTGAAAATCAACCACCAGGGCACCCTGAACACATGGCACGGGAGTACCAAAACACACCAATAAGGCCTAGAGAAATTCAAAACAGAAATAATTTCCCAGATGACCACAGAGATGGTGAACACAATGAAAGACATGATTAGTGATGGGAGAACAGAAACAGATTTTTTAAAAAATCACATGAGTTCGGGACCATGATAGAAGCCAGGAATGCTCAGCATAGGAAAGAAATGGCAACCATGATTACCCAACATAGGAAAAAAATGGAACCCATGAAACCGATTCAGATAGATATGCAAGAGATTAAAAAAAAAACTCAATTGAAAGTATACACAACAGACTGACCCAATCTGAAGAGAAGATGTCAGATACAGAGCACAGAATGGCAGTGACCATGAAAAGAGAAATCTCTTACAAATAGTAAAGGACCATGAGAAATGAATC